GGCAACTGAGGCGCCTACGGTACGGGGCTACGATAGCCAACAGTGCCTCCAAAATTAATTAGCGGGCCTCGGATACTTTGAAGGAAATAGTTTGATTAGCTCTTGTTTTGCTGACAAATCAGAGAGAGAGAGATGGCAAGAAGAAAATGGGGCAAGTGCCTCACCTCTGCGATTAAACGGACACACACACTGGGGCTGGGCAAACGGAACAGCATAAACTAATTATAATTACAGTTTGTCTAATTCATATTTAGATTTTTTAAGGACATCACAATTAAGCTCCCACAAATACATAATGCATCAACAAGAAACAAAAAAAAACTAGGATAAAAAATAGACCACAAATAGAATGGATATCAGTTTAGATGTGACATAATTAGATGTGTCCTAGACAGACCCTTATAATTAATCATATGGGTGTGACCGGCGGCACGGCAGGGCGTCGATCGGTCATACTATTTTGTTGTTTCCTTGAATCTGCTGTATCTGCATCTTGTATATGAGATCGGCCGAGAGTCGGTAACCAAATTGGATCTGAGATTGGCTATTCCTGCTCTGAGATGTAGTATTATTCTTGTTTGAGCTTTTGCTTTGGACATTACAATTACTTTTTAGATATACTGCACCCAAAAATAAAAAGGTATACTACCATTTAAATGGCAGCGAATATGGATATGGGGCTAGGTGCTATTGCAGCTCAACATATAAAGCACACTTTCTTTTTCTTGTCACTTTTTTTCCTGTCCTCTGTTCTTCCAAAAAAAACATGGGTTTGTTTGTGGTTCCATGGTTCCATCTAGGAGTATGATTATAGGTCACCATACCATTATTTCTTTTTAAAACTTTCAGTCTCATCTTTTGTAAAAAAAAAAGAAGTTTGCTGGGTGGGAGATTCCTCACCTCATAATTAGGGGCACAAATTTACAACAAGGTTTTAAAGAGGGAGCAATGAGATGCGAGGGGTTACAGGACGCAGCCGCACAAACAAAGAAGGCTACCATGACAGTCCAACATTCACAGGGGTGAGATGGCTCGAGCCCATGGACCACCACACTATTACGGTGTTTCGAAAGCTACCTGCATCAAAAAAGTCAAGCTGGCCAGTGGTGGCCTCGGCGCCGGTGGCTGACACGGGTGGACGGGTGGTGAAGCTCAGGAACGCATGCTCCTGGTCTGGTGTGAATCGCTAGCGTGGACAAGAAACTGGCAACGAAGGGGCATGTGAAGGGTTGCGTGGCAAATTGAATGTCATGGGCTTTACTACTACTGACCCACCTGAAGGCCTAAGAACATCTATAGCGGATCCCGTAACCACGCCTGCCGCAAAATACGTATAAGGGCTCCCGCAAATTGTTTTTACGGTGTGCCGAGCACTCTGGCCGAACAAATCCCGCAAACGCATCCCACTAATTTTGCGGGACATGACTGCGGGATCTGTTCAGCCGAATCGCTCGCCGCACCGCAAATTTTTCATAAAATATCAAAAAATTGCACATGTCACAATAATGTCAATTGAATGAAATCTAATATAAATTTAACATACAATTATATAAATGGTCAAGCAACTCACAATACAACAATAGTCATCATTACAATAAATGTTCGAATTCAAATAATTATTACAACACCAAATTGTTCAAATCTCACATGGATAGAAATGGATACAAATGGTGATCTATCTCCGCCCATATAGCTGACACCAATGCTCAATAAGATCATGCTGGAGTTGATTGTGCGAATCATGGTTCTCGATCTTCCGGTAGGTCTCAAAAATGCACTGATCTCATCTACATCCCTGGCCGGCTTCGGATGACAACCAACATTGTCATAGTTGTACTCCAAGTCCAAATCCCTTTCATCCTCAATGATTATGTTGTGTAAAATTTCACAAGAAATCATAATGTTTCGAAGAGATTTTTTATCTCGGAAGCAAGTAGGACCTCGAACAATGGCAAACTGAGCTTGCAATACACCAAATGCCCTCTCAATACCCTTTCGGCAAGCTTATACTGTGCTTCGGCAAAAAAATTGTGCTTCTTGATTTTGGGGTCACTAATGGTCTTCACAAATGTTGACCATGATGGATAAATACCGTCGGTAAGATAGTACCGCATGGTATAGTCATAGCCATTAACGGTATAGTTGCAAGCCGGAGCTTTGCCACTAGCTAGCTTAGCAAATAAATGAGATTGCTGCAACACATTGATATCATTCAGAGACCCCTGCAAACCAAAGAAGCAATGCCAAATCTATAGATCATGTGAGGCTACGACTTCAAGCACGATGGTGGGTTTGCATTTGTGGCCGGTGTATTATCCTGCCCAAGCCACCGGGCAGTTCTTCCAGCTCCAATGCATGCAATCAGTACTACCTAGCATGCCCAGCCATCCCCTTGCTTCGTTCATTGCCATGAGTTTCTTTACGTCATATTCGTTTGGAGCATGAAGATACTCCGGGCCAAAAATCCGGATTATTGTCTTCGCAAAGACACAGACACTTTTGATGGCAGTATCTTCGCCAATGCAAAGATATTCATCCGCATAGTTGGCTGGAAAACCATATGCAATCACTCTCATTGCGGCCGATTTTTTTATATGCACTAAAACCAATCAGACGAGCGGCATTCCTACGCCGGGTGAAGAAATGGCAAATTTTATCGCAAGCCTCGACGATGCGGATGAAAAGTGACCTACGCAGTCCATATGGCCTTCGAAAGAGGTGAGATGGATATGTCGGTATCTCTGGTTGAAGCTTTTTCATTTGCGGGTTGAACCTTTTGTCAAAACGGTTGTATCTTTTCCTCTGTTCCATTGTTTGGCTGAAGCTTTTTTATCTACCGGATGTAGCTTTTTGCCTCCATGGTTGTAGCATGGGAAAACACTATTCGCAACTCTCCCCGATGTCGCAGTTGCAGATCCCCCCGGTCGCCATGGTTCTAGCACGAGGCACCTCGGTCCTCCTCCATGACGTTTGGCCTGCCACCGGTTGCAGCAAAAAAGGGGGGAAAAGAGGAGGAGGAGGAGAAAGGAAGTGAGGGAGAAGGAAGAAGGGGGAGGTGGGAACACGAGCGAGGCTGCAACCATGGTTGGTGGGGACTTCGATCTTCCAAGCTACATCCATGGCCGATGGCTGCAACGGGGGAGGCGTGAGATGCGTTCGTTATAGGGCGAGATCAGCGCGAGGTTGAATAAAGCAGAGAGGAATAGCGTGGGTGGCCCCGTGTCTACGTGTTGCCTGGTGGGTGGCTGGGGCCAAGCTCGCGTGGACGCGTCCGGCCCAAAGTTCGGCCGGCGCACCGCACCCGATCATTTTCCTTTCAAATTTGTTACTCTCCGTTAGGCTTTGTTCGGTTACACCCAGTCTCAAGGGGATTGGAGGGGATCTGGGGGGGGGGGGACCCCTTGAAATCCAAGCCAACCGAATGCAGCCTTAGGGGGCCTGTTTTACGAGGGCTATGCAATCGCTCGGTCCGCACACCCCTGTGGACAACACTGAAGATCAACATTACATTGGTGCAATTAAGATGCAAGTAGCGGATTGCATTCTGAAACACCTAAGAGGAAGGGGTATCGGTTAATCTGAGCCCTCGATGTGTTAAAGGGGGGTGGACCGAAGCAGATATACGGTTATGTTCTACTCCCTCCATTCCTAAATACAATTTTTTGTAGAGATTTGACTACATACAGATGCAAATAGACATAATTTAGAGTGTAGGTTCACTCATTTTCCTCCGTATGTAGTCCATATTGAAATCTCTAAAAGGACTTATATTTAGGAATGGATGGAGTACTTTGGAGAGCAGAACCATCTTACTCGGTAGCTTTACACCAACTAGTGTTTTCCAATTAAACCCCATTTCTTTTGCAGCGTACTCTATGATTTTTGGAAGTGAATAGTTGTGATGGGGAAGTTCATTTCTTCACTTCACCATATGGCACCGCCCTTTGCAGATGATTTATTTGTGCGTGTGTGGGGCCTTTGCAGATGAATTGGCTGTAGGTGTAGCAAAACTTGTAACCCATGAGCACTATATAAAGGGTACATAAATGGTCTTCTGCCACTGTCCGGAAATGCATGCTTAATATGCTCTCTAACCTGCTTTAGGACATCTTGGTCTATTATTGGTAGATGAGCATGACCATGCATGTTCTGCGCCAATTCGATGAGCACTATATATATGTAGATTCTTTTTTCTGAAATAGATATTGTACTGATGTATCACAATGACAAATATACACCCAGCCGTTATATATGTTGATAGGTAAATGATTACTCTACGATAGTATCTCTCCTGATGACTCTAGAGAGAGAGAGAGAGAGAGAGAGAGAGAGAGAGAGGAAATAAAGCAAAAAGGAGTATGTAATTGTTGTAGAACAAAAATGTGCATGATTATCACAACACAACCAGGATCACAAAATATCATATACCCGCAACTACTCAGTCTAGTGAGTGGTGCTGAGAGCACATGGCAATTTGATTTGCTGCTACTGGAACTCTTCACACCCCTCGACGCCGAGCTTTGCGAAGGCTGCCACGAGGCTCGGTGCCACGTTGGTGAGTGCAAGCCTTAACCCAGTGGAGCACGGGTGCTTCCTAGTCGCTTCAGTGGCATGGGCATCGTCGACAACATTTTCCTGCAGCCACGCGTTGCATGTCCTGAGCACAAACCTTCCCCGACGGCGGAAGTGTTCCTTGACGAATTCCTCAAATCCCCGAGGTGGCCGACAAAGAAGGTGTTGCATAGTCCGAAGGGTTAGTAGGTAAGCATTCTCATTGTAGGGTAGCGCATTGCGGTGGCCCTCTGGTCTGCCAACCAATGTCTCATAGCCGGCCTCATTGTAGTATGGTTGGTCATTAAGGACGAGGCCCTGGATGGAGACAACGACTTGGAGCAGGCTTGAAGTTGTCGGCGACCATACCTCAGTGTCCTCGCCACCGAATGTGTTTAGCAGGCTAAGGCACACTGTACCACACTCATAGAGGTTGGGATTGAGGCGTAGGCCAAAGGAGTGGTAGTACACTTGCGGTGGGGCATCCGGGTACGATGGAGGTAGCTGCAAATCGAAGAAGAAGAGGCCGTGATGGTATGGTGTCCCACTCGCGCCCACCATCACCACCCGAAGTAGATCCATGCGGTCCTCGAACACTCGGACGTAAATGGTTTCTGCACATTAAATAGTTGTGTATTAAATTTTGTAGACACATGGACCCATGTGTATTTTGAGGTGCGCTCACATACCTGGTAAGCCGTTCTCCAGAATTTTCCATTCTTTTTGCACTGTTTTGGCCCAACTCTTCCCACGACTAGCGCCCTGCATTTCCTGAAAAAGAGAGCATTCATTGAAGTTCAATATTCTGTAAAATTTGTCTTATTATGACTTGTAACATGTTGTGTGGTCATTTACTTAATTTTAAGTCAAAGGGATTCAATTTTATTTTGCAGTAAAAAGTGAATGCCACAGTTAAGCTGCAGATGGATTCCAACGTTAGACAAACCATATTGTGCATGCAAACTTTCTTTACTCTAACCTTAACTACCTCCCGTTCTTCATCGTTTTCTCTAACAGAAATATAATTACCTTGTCCGTAGTGTCAAGGTAGTGGTGATCCAAAGGGCTAATCTGCAGTACATCAAAACATGGAAAGCAGAACGGTTCGTCGCAGAAACAGGTAGCATCTGCATCCTTCATTCCCTTGGCAAAACCATGGCTGGTCACATCTACGGCAGCATCGCTGGTCTCCATTGCGGCACCACCGATACTATCATCATTCGTGTGGGCGGGTAACTCTGAGCTTGGTAAGGACGACGACCAGGGCCACCAGTTCATCAAGTATCCTTTACCTCGAGCCACCACGTCGCTGGTCAATTGGAGGAAAGACTGGAATGAGAAACCTAAAAGGCTTGTCCTCGACATTGCCAGGTTGACATCATCGACATCGTTATTTAGATTCTGAAGATTGATTTCCTAAAATTAGATAACACATGAGGTGAATCCATCCATATAATAATTTATATCATAGTATAAAAAGTACTTTGGTGCCTGCGAGGAGAAACCAAAATAGTCCCCTCACCTCATTGTTTGTCGAAGTGGATAATGTTAGAAAGATAGATTAGATATATACCGTGTTGGCAGCAGCCGTTTCTTCAGGTGCATCATCGGTGCCATCATCCTCTACCCAGTCGCCCATTTCAAGCCATAGCTCCATGTAGTGCTTGTCCTTGACGACGGTGATCTCATGGGGCAATACCTACAGCATGCCCACACAAATCAAGAATGGCTAATGAGTTGTGTAGAGAATTGTAACATAGGAAGTAGTTGTAGTTGCCAGGAAAGGTATTAGAAGCTATCCACGTACCGTTGACATGCTACCATCACCCCACTTGACTTGGACGTGCCCATTAGGAAGTTCAACTACACGCCCCACCCACGAAAGATCAGCATCAACACCATTTTCCTTCTTCTTTCCCTGTAACAACGGTGTGCTTTCACCGTTGTTGGTTGATCCTGATGGTAGGAGACGAATGACTATATCTCCATAGTAAACAGAGTGGCTAGAGTCTATCTTTAGGTCGTAAGCACTGACGGTGTCATCGCACTCCACCTCCTTAACCTCGTCAGGGTGCCTTGTCGTCTTGAACCATGACACACAAACTGTCTGATCCTCATACTGCAAGCTCTTGACGATGCCCACGCGCTCCATTGGTCTAGTTCCAGGAGCAACATTGTCATTATTGACACCAGTAGTTGTCATGTCATTAGGATCACCAGTAGCGTCAACGGAAGCATTAATAGGAAGAGCGTTCGCGACAACATGCTGTCCCGGGAAGAACTCTTGCTCATTCACGATCCCAAAGGGGACGAGGGTTGCTGAAGGTCTGCCATGATGCCGTGTGCCATCCTGCCACAACACGTCAACGGTGGTGCAAGTGTTGGCGACGACCATGGGAAACTCCACCTCCACATGTCTCATGGCTTGCAGGTGCTTGCCCCATCTGTGTCCCTCAAAGCGGACCTTCCTTAGCTGCTTCCAATAAAACCTCACATCATTCTGCTTTGTGGGTGGTACCACCTGGGAGGTTGATGCTTCACACTCGTCTTGATTGTCTTGTGAACATGCACTGTATTGCTCCTCCTCCTCCTCCTCCTCCTCCTCCTTATTATCATCATCATTATTGTGTTGATCAGGAGCAGAAGTTGCATCCCCTTCGGTCGAACTAGTTTCAAGAAAAAAACAGCGGTCAGCAAGCCCCCAGCAGCAATTGTACGAGGCGCAGAAGAATGTTAGATCGTCTGGGTTCTGGTAGGCCGGAGGAGCGGATGCCTCCACTAGCTCCATGTCGGTGCCACAATGCATCGATGCAACCCAGTAGACGAGGACGCCAGACGTCTCCACCTTCATGATGGTTCCTATTTCTCGTTGAGGATGCCAATAGCCATTAAGCCACCGCGCCGCCTTGAAGACTGAACAACTATCCGACCCGGTGACGTGTTGCCCCTGGTGGAATCGACTGTTCATTTGGTGGCGATGCATCCTCACCATGGTGTAGCTGTCAGGCACTCTTTCTAGGTTCTTGGACACGGCCTCCGCGTCGGTGACCCTGCAGACTGCTCCATCCTGAAACAACACATCAATGTCGATATACACCTCCACGACCCGGCCGAGCCACGGACCGGACACGACAAAGTCCCCGAGGTTGAGGCTCCTGACTCGCCGCAGGCTAGACGGGGACACTCCCTTGATGATCTTGGTCGCCATGCCGTTGTTGTCGAGCTTGGCCAGGTTGAGCAGGGTGTTGACGCCGGTGACGACGCCGAGCTGGCCTTCCATGTCGGACGCGGACGCGACCACCTGTCCGGGGTACAGGTGGCTCCTGTCCATCACCTTGATGTCGCTGACGCTCTTACGCACAATACAGTCATCGATGCGCAGGAGCTTGAACTTGTCGACGGGGAGATAGACGTTGCCCACCTTGGCCTCCGGGAGAACGAGGCCACGGTCGAGGACCATGCGCCCGAAACTCACGAGGTCGAGACGGTAAATATTTGGAGATGGAGCCGCAGGGACGACGTCCATCGTAACCGACTTTAATTTCCGTCGAGAGCACGCGCGCCGGAGGATTTGCTAGAGCTGATCGATCTCGCACACGACGGAACGGAAGCTGTACGTAGATATATCTATATAGTATATGCCCCTGTCCTGAGTTCTAGCCTAATACGGATGAGGCTTTTGTTCCTTTCTTTTTATACAATATAAAAGCAATAGTACAATTTTTTTTCTTTTGAAAAGGAAATATCATATAGGCGTCTCGGAAGCAAGCGTTGGTCTGATGGTCTCCTCGTTCCCCGATCAAAAATCCCAGCGCCCCACCCCAGGGCGACGTGCACCACGATCTCATCGCAAGGTATAGAATGGGAGAGGGAGGTGGTCGTCCGTCGTCGCTTCATGGCTGCATGCGGCATGACAGCAACTCCGCGGCGACCCAAATGGTACGCACGTGTTGGTATGCGTCGAAACCAACCACGACCCAACTCGTTGACCTAAACCTAAAAAGCATCCACTCAGTGTATGTCCGGATATATTTCAGACCCAAATTTATGACCGGTTTGCCTTCACACGGACAAGGGATGGACACGCTGCGCGTCTGCTCGGTGTCCGCCGTGGCCCCATCTGTCGGCCGCCCAACTACTGCCCGCGGTCGTATTAAGCGCAACCACCTACCTCCGACCCGCTTGGCAGCGGGTAGAAGCACCGGGTCGCCGTCTTTTGCAAGCACAGGGGAGGGGGATCCCGTCCACATTTGGCCAAGCTTGCTTCCTCGCCAGCGACACCAAAACACTAGCCATGGGTTTCTTTGGCAAGAGCAAGGAGAAGCTTCACACGGCGCCAGCTTGTCGAGCGCGCCTACTCCACCGCCTCCGCCGCCGGATCATCCATTGGAATGTCGTGCTCCACTGGGCACGGGAGGAGGAGGAGGAGGAGCGCGCCTGTCGTGCAGCAGTGCAGCCTTAGGGCAGACGGCGGAGGAGGCGGCACGGGCGTGGGAGGCTGCATTCATGTGGGTTGGGCTGGCGCCAGAATTGATCGGCCTCACCTGTTCGGGGAGGATGATGACGCCTAGCGCAGCTGGCGCTAGGGCGCAATTTTTTAATTTAAATTTTCTTAATGTTAAAGTGGACTTTGGCATGCGATTAATGGCCATTTAATGCTTAATTAAGTTAAATTTGAACGTATGCGTATGTATTCTTTTGGCGCGAAAAAAATGCATCGGGTCAGCTTGGTGTGCAAGGGCCTGACCCAAACGAAAAAGCGAACATAGCCGTCCACTGACCCACCCAAACGGACCAAAAGCGGATAAAATGTGCGTCCGTTTGGCTCAGCGTTGGAGTTTCTCTAAGGACATCTCCAACTGTGACCTGCAAATTTCCTCCCGTACTCGTCCACAAATGCGAATGCGGGAGGCCGCCATCCAACGCCGCGCGCATACATTTAAACCCAGGTTTCAACTAACCAGATAGAATTCATGCAAACACAATGGAATCCAGAACCGGTGTTAATGCCGGAGCGATGACCCTCAGAAATTGCCAGAGATTGTCGACTCTGGTTAATTCGTGGGTAGAACCACTGGTACGAACAGTACAACTTTAGTTGCAATTAGCACACCTTCCAAGTTGCTTAATGGCGGAGTATGGAAGGCTTGCGCCCTCTTGTTAGGGTTTTTCTCCTCTCGGGGCGATCCTGGTCGCCACCGTTGAGTTCTGTGTTCCCCTGTCTCCGCCGCGTTCCCCAGCCATCTATCCTTGATTGGGGGGCGCCCCAGCGCTCACTGGTTCAGGCGGCGGCGGGGAGGGGGAGGATCTAGGGTTCCTCTGGAAGGCCCGATAGTGTTTGTCGGGTTAGGGTTTGGAGTTAGATGGCATCGGACGGAGCTTTGGTGTCTGCTACGGCTGGATCGCCGGAGGTGGATGATGTGGCAACTCTCATGAAGGAGTTGGGTCTGCGAGAAGAGGATCTCGACGACGTGGTTTTCGAAGATAAGGAGGCGCCATTGGAGGCGGCTCGGTGGATTACGCTCATGAAGGTCCACAGTGCGAAGACCTACAGCCAATATTGGTTCTTCAAGAACATGAGAGCAGCATGGGATCTTGTCCAGGAGGTTCGGTTCAAACCATTAGAGGAAAACCTCTATACAACTCAGTTTTCATGTTTGGGAGATTGGGAGAGAGTAACCCAAGAAGGGCCTTGGCACTTTAGAGGAGATGCGGTCATCATTAAGCCGTATGATGGTCTGGCCAAACCTTCCACTGTTCAGCTTGACACAATTGAGATTTGGGTGCAGATTCATGATGTGCCACCTCTATATGCTCGTCTAATGCCATCTTTGGCAGCTAAGATAGGGGAAGTGCTTTTCATTGAACCCCAGTCACAAGATTTTACGGGGAATTTTCATCGTGCATGGGTGAGGATCAATGTGACTAAGCCGCTAAAGAATGCAGTCTCGATGATACGGGAAGGAAGAAGGCAAATTTATAGGGTCAAATACGAGAAGCTCCCCGATTGGTGTGCGGTGTGTGGCATGTTAGGCCACTTGTTTAAGGAACATGGCAGTGGTGTCCACCCTCCTTCGGCACTGGTCTTCAAGGATCTAAAGGCTACTTGGGCTATGCGCACGGGTCAGGGTCCTGGAGGTGGCCGGGGACGTCGAGGTGGCCGGGGACGTCGAGGTGGCCGAAGAGGAGGCCGTGGTGGAAGGGATGGCAGCGCACGGAATGACCACAATAATGCTCGGGCAGAGGCCGAGTGGGGCACAAATGATGATTTGCACATGTCTGATGCGGAACTCAACAGGAAGAGGACACAGATGAATGCAACGGTGAATTCTCATGTTGCAGCTCCGGGTATTGGCGGCGTGTTGGCGCTGCCACCGCCTCAGATACCGCTAAGCCCACCCCCAAAGCAGGATCTGAAGAGGGCGAAAACGGATATGACCGGAGAGAAGAGTACACATGTGAAGGTTGATAACAAAACAGGAGACAAGTTACTGGAAGCAAAATCGGCGGACTCCCCCGGGGAGTACCGCCGAGCACAATGAGTCTCCTCAGCTGGAACTGCCGCGGCGCGGGCAAGGCCGTGACAGTCCGAGAGCTCCGTGAGCTAGCACGGAAATTTGCCCCTACCCTGCTTTGTATTGTCGAAACCCAAATTGATAGATTTAGGGTAGAAAAGCTAGCAAGTACTCTTGGTTATGACAATGCTTTTGCTGTTAGCAGTCAAGGCCGCAGTGGTGGTCTTGGGATATTTTGGAATAATCCAATAAAGGTTGAAATTTTGGGCTACTCTATGTATCGTACAGATTGTAAGATTGAGGAACCGGGCCATGATCCCTGGCGCGCCTCGTGTTTCTACGAAGAGGCACAGACACAACTACGCCACCAGACGTGGGACACGATGAAAGGGATTGCAAGTTCTAGTGCTCTCCCTTGGATTTGTTTTGGTGATTTCAATGAAGTTCTACGTCCAGAAGAACAACAGGAGTTGGGGAACGCAGCAATGCCCAAATCCAGGGATTTCGAGAGGCGGTGGATGTTTGCATGTTGGAGGACATTGGTTATCAGGGCAACTTTTGGACCTTTGAAAAAAGGGTAACAGGGGGCAGCTACACCCGGGTCCGTTTGGACAGAGCGCTAGCTTCTTCCGAATGGATGGTGAGATTTCCCAATGCAGAGGTGACTCATCTAACTGCGGCCACTTCTGACCACAGTCCGATCTTGATCACGATGGACGTTGAGCAAGTTAGGCCTCCAGCAAAACCTCCTTTCATGTACGAGGTGATGTGGGAAACACATGGCGAATGGAATGACACTCTGAAGCATTACTGGAGTGCTGATCAGCCGGCCTTGAGCCTGGAGGAGTTACAGACTAAACTAAATGACACGGCGAACAAT